TTTTTGTTCCGTTTACTGCTATTGACCATCATAAAAAATCGGTTACTGTTGGATCTGGGTTGCTAAGCAATGAAAGCATTGAGTCTTACTGTTGGTTGCTTAAAGCATTTCTTAAAACTCATGGGAAAGAACCAACACTTGTTTTAACCGATCAAGATGCCGCAATAAAACAAGCTGTTGAGAATGTGTTTCGTAATTCAAAGCACCGATTATGTATGTGGCATATAATGAAAAAGTTGAAAAAAAAGGTATTATTTTAATATATTTCAAATATATTACTTATTAGTATATTCATTTATGAATATTGATTGTTATTTTACTTATTATTATTTATTCATTTATGAATATTTTTGTTTTAATACAGATACCAGATGATTTATTTACGAACACAGACTTTAGAAAAAGGTTTTCGAAGCTTGTTTGGGACATTAATATGAATCCTGATGTTTTTGAGGTGAAGTGGGGTTTGCTTATGAAGGAATTCAATCTTGAAGACAGAAGATGGTTTAAAGACATGTTTACAATACGTGATTCATGGATACCTGGATATTTTAGTGATATTCCAATGTGTGGTTTGATGAAGACTACATCGAGGTCAGAGAGTATGAATTCATTCTTTAATACATATTCAGAAAGTGGGAACTTACTTTTGAATTTCATGATGAATTACGACACTGCCATTCAAAAGCAAATGAATACTCAACGAGAGCTTGATAAGGCATCAAAGAAAGCATCATATGAAATACAAACACCTCGAGAAATAGAACTGCAAGCATCAAAGGTTTATACAAGTACATTATTTTTTGAGGTGCAAAAAGAAATATATAAAGCATGTTTTTTTTCTGTACATACTCATATGTTGGTATTTAAGATGGTTGGGAAGTTTACATTGTGCAGCACAACAACAGTAAAAGTGATTTTAAAAATGAATTTAAGGTAATTTTACTAGTTTTTTATGAAAAATGTAATAATATTCATATATGAATATGAGAATATTCATATATGAATATCAATATTCATATATGAATATCAATATTCATATATTCATATATGAATATATGAATATATGAGTGTTGATATGAGTATTCTTATATGAATGTAAATGTGTAAATTTTGTTTTTGTATCAGGTTGAAATAAAAGCTGAAGAGAAAGAAATAAATTGCAGTTGTGAACATTTTAAGCGTATGGGTGTTTTATGCAGACATGCTTTTACAATAATGATGAGATGTGGTGTAAGAAATTCCTGAAAGGTACATTTTGAAGAGATGGAGAAAGGATGTGATATCAAGAAATTATCGTTTTAGTTCTGTTCAATCCGATTCAGGTGATTGTGAGAATGTAAAGCTAGTCAATGATTCATATAATAGTTTTGAATCATGTTTGGATATTGTAAGAGATGACAAAAAGAGATTGACTTTGTTTGCTGAGAAACAACAAATGTTGTTGAAGGAATTTGAGAGTGATTATATTTCTCCTGGATTGAAAGCAAGACAGATGGTGAAGTCGTATGCAAGCTTTTGGGTTTACTATTCCTATTCCAGAAGAGATTAATATTCTGTATCTGAAGTTCAAAGCAATAAAGGTTCTGGAATCAAGAAAAGAATTCCAAGTGCAGGTGAAGTAGCATATGCAAATTCTAAAAAAGAACATAGAATGTGTTCAGGATGTGGAAAATGAGTTCCACACAATTTACGTACTTGTCCAGAAAGAGTTGGAGCTGCTAAATCAGCAAAAGACAGTTAGGGATTTTTTAGTTTTTTTTTTTATTGTTTTTTGGTTTTATTCATTATGAATATATGCAGATAAAAACAATAAACAATAATTCATACACATTTATATTGATATGGTAAATTGATATGTTGATATTTGTTTTTAAATTACTATAAAATAAGTTATATGATATTGTAAATTATTCATAAATGAATACAAATATGTGAAATTTGTTATACTAATAAATAAGTAATATTCATATCTGAACTTTTTTATGTTATATCTGAACTTTGTTATACTAACATATTAATTTGAACTTATTCATAAATGATATATCATATTCGTATATCATTATGAATAATAAAAATAAAGTTTGAAAATATTTGAATATAAAAAAATGACATAAATAAGCAAACTTGTTTCTACTAATAAGTTAGTTATATTCATATCTGAAATTTGTTATATTCATATATGAACTTTGTTATGCTGACATATTACTCCTAATTTAATCATAAATGAATATATCATATTCGTATTCATTTATGAATAAACATAAATAAACTTTGAAAATATTTAAATATAAAAAACTAACAGAAATAAGCGAAGTTGTTTCTATTACATAATCATTCAACACAAGATAATAAAAGCTGTTCATAAGCATTTCAAAATATGAAAACGATGTTCAATAACATTTTAACAAACATAACAAAAAACCATTTAAAACTTGTTTCGCAGAATCATCTTACATGTACTTCAAATCCATTCATCTTCAACACAAACTATTCTATAGCATCACACTTCAACATTCTTTCATCTTCACAAGCAATCATCAATATTCTTTTAACCTTTTTGAATTGTTTGCATAGCCTTGTATGCATGATCAGTACGCACATTGAATTCAACTTTTTGATATTTTTCAGCAAGATCCAACACCTTAGCCTTCAACATGTTAATTTCAGAAGTTAGCATTATGTGTGTATATCTTTGCCTAAGCTTCTCTAAAGTAGTTTGCTGAACTACACTTTCTTTATGAAGACCTGGTTTCCTCCACTTGAGAGTGGTTGTCCCATATAGGTCTCCATATGTCTCATTGCAAAGACCTCACAATCAACTTTGTTTTTAACTGTTCTCCATGACATTTCAAGTCGTTGGGGTTTGATACTTTCTTTTGAGATTGCATTTGCTCTTGGATGGTTTATTTCTTTATAGTATCTCACAAACAAATTTTTCTGATCATTAAATAAAATAAAAGTTAGATATGTAATAAATTGGTTCTTTTATGTTGTTGTGAATTGGGTACATACCAAAGGTTTCAATATTACTCCGTATTTCCCTTCATAATCCCCCTCAACTGCACTATTGTCTAGAATTTTAATTGACTGTTTCTTTAAGTTGAAGACAATCACAAAAATGTGAGCACTTCTAACAACTGGAAAGAATACCTGTTTTTATGTATATAATGGTAAGTATTTTGTTGATAATATATATATATAAAAAAACAACTTTAATTAACATACCATGTCAATATCTTTTATGTTCAAGATTTTTTCGTACCCATTGGTACTGTCATGAAAGTTTTCCTTGAATTTTTCATACTTTCTTTCATCAGAGACAATGTGAAGTTAGATAAGCAGTCTGTAACCAATATAATCATATGTGAATTTCAGTTGAATATATATAATTATGTTAAAGAATACATCATATTTGTATAATCATATGTGAATTTCAGTTGTAAAAAAATATAATATTCATAAATGAATACATCAATATGGTGTATTCATTTATGAATAAGGAAGGAACTAAGGTTAGAACATAAACTTACAGAAACTCCAAGTTTCAAGAAGAGTCTGTATGGTGAATTTTCAAAATCCCTTTCCAGTTCTTGGTGGTTAAGTAAATCAGACCAAGTGTCTAAAACTTCTCCAAAAATCTCTATGTTTGTATATAGACTTTCCATAACTGCTCTTTCTGTTGTCTGACCATATTTTCTCTGGACAACCATATCTCTGCAAATATATAATCAAAATGTCATAGATTATTATCTATATAATAATCATATATGAATGTATATAAAATAAAGTTACTTACGATGTATTGCCTTGTAAGTTGAACAACCATTCACAGACAATACTCTCCTGATGTGTCAGTTTGGGTTTTGTGTCTGTTATTCTGCATTTGAAAGGTGATTTGAAAGCATCAACAAGCTTCTTCTCTCTTGGTTGATCCATATCATGCTTTGATGGTCCTACTTCAGTATGAATTGATACAGATATTGGATTTGGATTAAGAACATTTTTCTTTGCTAATATGATAACAACCTTCTGATGGTCGTCTTTGATTTGTTTCTTTGTAAGTGGTTTTTTTGGTGAAGATTCATTAGATTTTTTACTTGAAGTTTGATCTGAATCTTGACTGAGACCTAGACTAAAGCTTGGATGAGTATCTGCATGCCAGGAGATTTATCATATAAATAGTTGTAAGTTAATTATAATATTTGAGTTTATATTTTGAAATGTTTATCCAAATTGTTACCTCCTCCTTTATTTCCTTTTGTCTTGTCAGCTTTTTCTCCTTTCTTGTTTTCATTTTCTGACTTTTTCTTTCCTGAAAGATAAAGAACTTTGATTAAGTAATTCATATGTGAATAAGTAATGTATTCATTTATGAATAAGTAATGCATATCATTATTTATGAATAAGAAATATTAATTTTTTTTATATTGCGTTATTTATTTGTGAATAATAAACTTATTATATTCATTTATTAGTGATTCAACTATTTACCTTTATCTTCTGCATTTCCTTTCTCAGTTTCTGTATGTTTTATCTTCACCTCCATCTTTCGTGTTCTTAGCTTCTGTTCCTCCTTTATTTCTATCTCAGAGTTTTCCTTTCCTGAAACATATACATCATATATGAATATTTTTTATTTTTTATTCATTTATATAGTGTATTATTCACTTATGAATAAACAATGTTATTAAAAAAATCAATATAAATATTGTAATATATTTTAAATCATTCATTTACCTGTATCATCTCTCCCTTTGTTTTTTCAACTTTTTCCTTGTTCATGTACCCTTCTGATTTTTTCCTTTTCTGCAAGAGTATTAGTTTTACCTGTACTCATTGGTGACCCTGGTCAAAACTTAAACAAACAAAATTGTTATTGTGTATTAATATTTTTATATATTTTTTTAAAATAAAAGTAAGACAAAATTTACCTATATCAATATTATCGAAAATAGTTTTCATTTCAGGGTGATTCCAGATTTCATCTTCTTGACTATTTAAACTTGAAATTCCAATTCCAAGGACATGTCCACAATGTTGTCAACAACTTTATCCAACAAATTTTCATTTTCAGTTTGTTGAATAGTCTCTTCATGATTATTTGTTTCCTCAGCATGATCATCTTTTTCCTCTTCATCATTCTCATTTTCATTCCTCTTTCCATCTTTCTCTTTTATTCCAATTTCACCTTCTTTTTGATTCTTATTTGCATCGTTCTTTATTCCTTCATTCTTTGCTTCATTTGAATCAAGCATATAATCTACTTCTGGTTGACTTGCATCATTATCACTGTCTTTTTCACCATTTCCCTCTTTATCTTCATTTTCTTTTTGATCATTTGTTTTTTGACCCATTATTGGTGTCAAATTGATTCTTCAACTCCAGTTTCATTACTTGGAAAATTAAAAAGTGTTTGTGCTTTTAGTTTTTCTTCAACAATCATATTGTTCATCTTTTCTTTGAAATTCTAAAACTTTCCTTTTCAGGGAACTTTGTCATCGCATCATTAAGCTTTGAATTCAGCTTTTCCTTCATCCTCTCGAAACTATTAAGCATTTTTGATATTTTTGATTCATATGCCTATGTAACAAAAAGAAGTATATGATTAGAATTTAATATAATAATTTAATGTAATCATATATTATTAACATGTTCAAACTAATTACCTCAACAGAATGATCTTCATCTTTATCATAATCACTATCTTCGAGATCTGTATCTCCTTCATCTTGTTCATTAACAAATTCTTCGTTTAATTCTCCAAGTCCAAATCTACTTTTTCTTGTTCAAATGTCTCTCGATATCTAATCTTCTCTGAACTCCAATAACAAATTGTTGGACGTTTACGTGTTACTGTTAAAGCTTCTGAGTGGATGTTATCAGCATAGAACAACTGCACATAAATGATAACTAATTGATATTCATATTTGAACAAGTAATATTATTTTTTACTTATTCATATATGAATAAGTAATGTAAAGCATTACGTGTGAACAATATATTTTTTTCTTATTCATATATGAATATTTGCTATTAGTTTTATGAATAATCAATATTATTAAAAATTGAGTATAAACATTATAATAACTTACCACCAAGAAAGCTGAAGGTCCAACAAAGAAGCTGTATCTGAGTATGGTATGTATGAGTTTTTTGTTCTGACAAGACAGTCCAAAACATAGCTGCACCAGTCTATGTTGCTGATATCTGTTTTTCTTGAAATATAACTCAAGGGAAACAGGTTGCATCTTCCCATTGATGTTGACTCGCAAAACGTGTTGACAAAAAGAACTAAGAAGTTCAATTTGAAATTGAAATCAGCTTGTGTGGTAGAAACAATAACATTTTTTATTGCACTCAGTCGGATGATTGAATCTAATCTTTTTTAAATTGTTGCTTCCATTCATCATAACTTGTATCATCCTTAGGCCATTGATCCAGTTGTGTAAGTTTGGTTCCACCAATTGGTATGCCCAACATGTCATGAACAGACTCTGCTCTGTTTACTTTCAATTCCTTTCCTTCAATATCTATCACCATTCTCTCAGAATCAATTTTTTGAAGAACATAAAATCCCATCTTCAGTGGTAATATCTGTGATTTTCATTTTTGACAAAGCTCAAACCCATAGATCTTACAGATTCTTTTTGTTCTTTGCTCATCCCAAGGATTATAGATAGTAATGCCTCTGGTGAACATCTGTTTTTCATTGAGTAAATTCTTTTACCATTGGTTTTTTTTTTTGTCTTTTTTGATTGGTGACTCCTTTTTTTTGCCTTCTTCGATGGATGACTACTTTCAAAATCAGAGTCTGAATCTTGTAGTTGTTGTTTTTCAGGAGTTTTCCTTTTAAATGGACTTTTTCTGCTTTGATGCTTTATTTTCTTTGGTACTTTTGTTTCTTTTTTATCTGGGAAATGAAAACATATAATATTTGAATAAGTTACTGATATATGAATATGATATATGCTCGTTGATTTATTAATATTTATTTATTACAAAAATATAACTAATATATACAATTTTATTCATATATGAAATATTAGATATGAT